TTAAGTGTGTCATCCATTTCTTGCCAGGATCTTGACTGATACATTGTATTCACATTCTAGAAAGAAGAGCTAGTTCTGTACTTCTCCTTACTGCTTGACCTTTTAAGTGGGTCACGTTCACAGGGTCTGAAAGGAGGCACAATGCAGCCTTGTACTTCTAGCATTGCAGATGCAGGGCGTGACTCCTCTATCAGCCTCTACTCCCCCAAGTTCTCCCACTGAGGCCAGATTTCAACCTCTCTCTCTTCCCTACGGCTAGATTCCCTCTCTTTTTAAATCTTTTCTGGGGCTAGTGAAATGGCTCAAGTGGTAGATCGCCTGCCTAACAAGTTTGACATTCTGAATTCATACCACAATCAAGAAAGAAAAAAAAAATCTCCCTTTCTCCCGACTCCAAGGATCCATGCTTCTTGTACCAACTGTCAGTCTTCCAACATAACCTGGTTCCTTCAATCTGGAGGATCAAGGTGGAAGACGGGAAAAAAAAAAAAAAAAGGTATCCTAGGTGGTCTTCCCTCAGGTTGTGGCTTCTGTAGCCTGAAGGTGTTTCCTACACTGGTGGAAGGTTTGCTATAGGCTGACCTAATAAGCATCTGATTCTGGGAAAAGGAAGAATGTGGAGGGGACTCTATCCTACCGCCTTAGAAACTACTTCTTTGAGAAAAATCGAACTTCAGTTTAGTTTTGTGTGTGTGTGTGTGTGTGTGTGTTTGTTGGGGCTTGAACTCAGGGCCTACACCTTGAGCCACTCCACCAACCCTTTTTAATGATGGATTTTTTTCAAGATATTTAGCCAGGCTGGCTTCAAACTGCTCTTCTCCTGATCTCTGCCTTCTGAGAAGCTAGGATTACAGGCATGAGCTGCTGGTGTCTGGCTTCTTCTTCCTTCCTTCCTTTCTTCCTTCCTTCCTTCCTTCCTTCCTTCCTTCCTTCCTTTTCTTCTTTCTTTCTCTCTCCCTCTCTTTTTTAGATTATACTGGGGTTTGAACTCAGGGCTTTGCACTTGCTTAGCTTTGAAGAAGAGATAAGATTAAATAAGGACTAGTGGAGTGGCTCAAGTGTTAGAGCACCTGCCAAGCAAGCATGAGGCCTAAGTTCTAACTCCAGTATCACCAAAAAAAAAAAAAAGACTAAATAATGTGTAAGAAGGAAGAGGACATTTTAGAAAGCAGGGAAGCAGATGGAAAGTGCAAGAAGATGGGAATGTGGTATTTGGGAAGACATGAGTACATCGTGTTGGATGATGTAAGAAGGAGAGGAAGATGGATTGGAGAGCTGAGTAAACCACCTATTTGGGAGGTCACACATGCCAGGATAAGGGTTTTAAAGGAGACTTGAAAGGTTCTTAGCAAGGCAGAATTTCAGAATTCACAAATTAAGAGCACTGAAAGGGAAGAAAGAATAGGTTAGAAATAAATGCAATTACCTAGATGTGACATTGTGAAGGGTGGTCCTTGAAAACATTGCAAAAGAAGAAACTACACATTAGTTACAGAAAAATGTGGTAGGAAGAAGAAAGTGGAAGGTAGGATCACTGCAGAATTTTGAGATGGAGAGACTGAGCACGATGTTCTTAGGCAAGAACAAAAGACTTCTTACAGAGAGATGTGGTTTGGGATGAAAGATCTTTAGGTCGGAGACTTAAATTGGATTGAAGGTACAGGAGTGAGCAGCACCTCTAAGAAAGATTACACATTAAATCAAGGGATCAATAGCAAAGTATTGCCATCTGTGACAACATGGACCAATTAGGAGGACAGTAAGTGAAATAAGCCAGTCCCAGGAAAACAAATACCACACAATCTCACTGTGATATGGAATCTAACAAAAAATCAAACTCAGAAGCAGAGAGTAGAAAGTGAATAGCAGGGGCTGAGACTGGAGGAGGACTGGGAAGATGTTAGTCAAAAGACAGAAAAATTTGAGTTAGATAAGAGGAGAATATCCAAGAGATCCATTGTATAACATAGTGACTGTAGTTAGTAACAGTGTATTGCATGCTTGGAAATTGCTGAGAGTGGAGTTGCAGTGTTCTCACCACAAAAAAATATGTGTGTGAAATAGTACATCTGTTAATATCTCACTTCAGAACATCATGTTATATACTATAAATATGTACAATTTTGTCAATTAAAGAAATTAAATTTAAAAATAAGGTTAAAATAACAAACTAATCCTTTATATATGCCCACTTTTCCAGAGCTAGAGGAGAAAACAGAGCCATGAAGGGATCACTACAGAATTGGGCAAAGAAAAAAACAGGTAGCATAAGAAATCCAAAAAGGAAATCTAATACTCCCATCCTTAAGCATGTAATAGATTTTGTGTATTTTTTTTCCAAGGAAGGAAGGAAGGGACGGAGGAAGGGAGGGAGGGAGGAAGGAAGGAAGGAAAAAAGTGAGAGAGGGAGAGAGGAAGGGAGGGAGGGAGAGAGGGAGGAGGAGAGGGAGGAAGGAAGGAAGGAGGGAAGGAAGGAAGGAAGGAAAAAGGGAGAGAGGGAGGGAGGGAAGAAGGAAGGAAGGAAGGAAAAAGGGCAAGAGGGAGGGAGGAAGGAAGGAAGGGAGAAATGCACAAAGGAGCTAGTTTCCAGAAAGGCTAATATCCACATTGGAATTTCAAAACATCCACTTCAGCCTATCCAAAATGACTCTTCAAGGGTTTGAAAATAAAGTTAGACAATACAGCAGTGAAGTAAAGAGTGTGAAAAAGTTATTAAATTGGGAGCACTTGTGAAAAAAAAACTTCTGAGGCCAGGCAGTGTTTCATACCTATAACCTCAGCTAACTGGGAGGCAGAAATTAAGAGGTTAGAGGTTTGAGGCCAGGTTGGGCAAAAAGTTAGCAAGACCCCATCTGAATCAACAAGATAGATGTGGTGGTGCATGCTTGTGATCCCAGTGATACTTAGGAGGGATGCTTAGGAGTATCATGGCCTGCAGCCAGCCCTGGGCATAAACTAGAGCCACTACCTAAAAAAAAAAGAACCGGAGGAGTGGGTCAAGTGGCAGAGCACCTGCTTAGGATTTTACAATATGTCCAGGCTAGCCTCAAACTCTTGGGTTCAATAGATCTTGCTGACTCAGCCTCTCAGGCAGCTGGACTAAAGGCCTGTACCACTGTGTCTGGCTTGATGTATATTATTGAACGCTGATATAACTCTGAAGTCATTGCAAAGTAATTCAGTTAAATGTGTTTGGATGCATTTAACAGAAAACCCAATGGAAATAAGCTTCAATAATATTGTTGAATGTTTCTTGGCTCACTTTTTCCACAGAGGATTTTGTTTAGTCTTTGGAAGTGGAGTGGCTTATGTTGTATTTTTTTCTGAGTAAGATATTTTTGATCTGGTGTGTAGAAACCTAGTAGAAATCAGAAGTTCTAAGTTCTGAACTTGGCTTCCCGTTTGAGTCTGTTGCCACAGAGCTGTGCCTTAGTTTTTCTCCCTAGTTGGTGGACATTTCTTTCCTTGTCATAATATGTAACCAACATTATCTCACGATGGGATAGATGTCACTTAGTCCCATTTTACTGGTGGGGAAGCTGAAGTACAGTTAGGTTAGATTGTTTGACTGAAGTTCCCGGGACAGTAAGTGCTATCTGGGCCTTCTAATACTTTTTTCAGTCTATCGACTTCCCCAGGGATCACAATTCAAAGGTTTCTTGGGTAAACCAAATAAAGGGCTTCAACATATTTTATTAAAGACTTCATTGGGTTGAAAGGAGGTCTTCAAAAACAAACAAAAAAATCAATCGATTACACATTAGAATCCCGCTGAGAAGAAGTAATGTCTAGGTTCTCAGGAACTTTCTGAAAGAATGAAGGTTGAGTTTCCTGAATGGTCAGGGTTTGGGTGGTGAGGGATCAGGGAGTGCATTTTGAGGAGGAAGATTCCTGGTGGTAAAGGCTGATCCCACAAATGGAAAGACTTCTTTTTAGTCACAATCAGGAAGCGTGAATGTGACAGAGAAATGTCCAAATTAGGGAGAGAGAAACACAGGAAAATGGAAGCATTTCTCCCCTGCAAGCAACCTGTCCAAGGCTTTTCAACCAGTCCCTACAAATTGAGAATGATTTGGGTGCTCAAAGACATGAGCTGTTCCCATAAGGCTTTGTTTTCAAGGTCATATCCCAAGGTCTTTTTTGCCTTTGTTTAAGGACTTCAGCAGGGATGGGTTACAGAGTTAGTGTAGTCAGTTACGTGTGAGGGTCTTAAGCCTAAACCCAGGCTCACTAACTTACCATTTGACCCATCTCTGGCAGGATTCCGAGCTAAGCATCTAGCAAACCCGAATGCAGTTCTGATTCTAGGCACTTGGGGACTGCAGATTAACTTGTCCTAGTGTTTTTCATGATCTACAAGTCTGGACTTCGGGGTGTAGAGGGTGAATGAGAACACATACCTCTGTTCCTGTCAAGATGCTCAATAATGTCCCCAAACTTTCTCCTGTGACTTCCTGGAAATGACCAGCCACTGACCCATCCTTCCTTCCTCTCTCTCTCCTTCCCTCCCTCCCTCTCTTAGGGACAGGAGGAATATATCCTGAATAAGAACATCTTTCTAAATGCTAGGTCCAGCCATTGGCCATTCTCTTCCTCTAGTCACCACTGTTTATGGTTTCCATCTGACGTGTGGGTCCTTGGCTTGGAGGGCTGATTAGTTGTACAGGGTTGCAAGAAGTTCACTTGACTAATATTCATTCAGAATAGTCTGTTCATCTAGAGATGCAATCAGAGGAGCAAATTAGTTTCTATAAAAGCGTAGAACTGGGGGACATTGCAAAAACCAAACTCTGGAAGAATGGCAAGGCATTAGTAGCATTGAACCAAGAAAGAGCAAAAAGAAAATCCTACTCAGTATCACAACTTGGTTGTAACAAAATTGTACGTTCTAAACTTCATATTCTTTCTGGAGTCAATTCTGCTACATTGTGGGAGGAGAAGAAGGGGCAGTAGGAACACATCTCAGCCTAAAATTGGAAGTTTTTTTAATGTTTCCACAGCCCAGAAAGGACCAGATGGGAAAGTCATTCCCAATAACTACTGTGACTTCTGCTTGGGGGGGCTCTAACATGAACAAGAAGAGTGGGCAGCCTGAAGAGCTGGTGTCCTGTGCAGACTGTGGATGCTCTGGTGAGTGTGGCCCCTTCCTGCATTGTGTGCCCGCAGACCAGGAAGGCTTCCACTTGCACTTCTCCTGCCATCTCGTGGTGGTGGGGTGGGACAGTGGAGTGGTGATGACTTTGAGTGGAGAGGGCTTGTGTCTGGCCGTTCCATGGGGTGGACATTACTTTGTGTGTGTTGCTGTGGTCAGTAGCGAGGTAGAGTAGAAACACCTGGTTTCTTGTTTGGATGATGCACATGTAACAAAAAGATATGTTTGTTCTGTGGAAGCATCTAGGGCAACCTGGGGAGTACAGAAACATGAATATTGGAAAAACAGCCACATCTTGAATTGTGGGAATCAGAGACCTCTGGGTTCCCGGGTGGTGGCATCAGCATGCCACCTCCATTGGCCACTCATCTCATTTTTCATGTGGGACAGAAAAAAGAATACTTACAAATCAAGCAGGCACAAGGACAGGCATTCCTGGGGCTAATCTGGAGTTGACTTGGCTTACTGTTGTCACTTTTAACCTATCCAAAGACTGAAATAGTAACAATACATTTCCTTCATTCTTCAGATGAGTTCAGGTCTTTGTTGTGGTTTTGGCTTTCAGCTCTAACCAAACCATTTAGTTTCGCCTGAACATGGCTCACTGCCGCTACCATTTTCCTATTGTTTTATCTCATAACTAGACTAAAGCAGACGGTAGGGAGGAGAGAGGATTTCAGACTCATCTTTAGTCTTAGCAACTGCTGACTAGTAAGTGAAACATCTGGCTTGGGTGGTTGGTTCCAGCATGAGGAGTCATTTCTCCTACCACCTTTTCATCCAGTATCATTTCCATTATTCCCAAGAGGACAGAGATGACCACATTTTGGTTTGCCATAGTGACCCAGATCTTTCTTGCCAGGTCTACAAATCTTACTTGAGCCTTTTTATGTTTTGATGCCAGGATTGTTTAGGGTTTAAGACTTCCTTGAATGGCAAACCAGTAATTGGAAAGGGACTTGGCCTCCATTACACACAGCCCTCAACATTTACCTCTCAAGGGCCCTGCCAGCATGTCCTTTTTGCATAGTTCTGTCAATTAATTTATAGACCAAACATGATACCTTATGTTGAACTTTTTACTCTACTGGTGCCAACTTCTGAGATGGGGCCCTTGTGATACTGGACTCTGGTTTTTAGATATTTGTAAAGAAAATAAAACCAATGAAATTAAACTCAGTGTTATTTAAGAGCAAGCAATCAGTCAATCTCCACTGCCAGAAGCAAGATCACATGGTAGAGGAATGTTCTAAGCAGGGTGTACGGGCTGCTGTAGGCTTGGAAGGGTTAGAGAAAGCATCTGAAGATGTCTCCATTGCAAACTGCTATAATTTCCCCCTTTTCTGTCCTACAAAAGATGGGGTGCTTGAATCTGTTGAATCTGATCTATGGGCATCAGAAGTGGGAAGTTGGTTATTTCTACATCAAGCCTCTTTCCACAACCTTTGTTCAGGTTCTGTCTGCTACGTGCCCAAGGGCCATTTTACACCAGCCTAGATATTCTCACTGCAATTGCTGATGATTAATTTTGGTGGCTCACTTAGTCAAGGTCTGACTCGGAAGTTCCTGAAATAGTTGATACCTTGGGAAAGCACAGGTGGCATTAGCCCATGGGGTGTGCCTGTTAAGGCAGGTGGGTGGATATTTCTCTGGGGCCTCCCCAAGGCCCCTCCCGAGAAGTATTAGCCTGAAGAGCTGCCTTTTCTTGCCCATCCACCCCATTGCCTCTGTTTCCTGGAGAAAGTGGGATGTCTAAAATTGCCACCAGAAGAGGTGCACTACCGCCTTGTGGGGAGGCATCCCGGGACCTGGGAGAGTGTGAGCAAGGTTCAGCCTGAGTTTCACAGATTTCAGGAGACTGTAATTTATTAGGATTTTTAAAACTCAATTTTTCACCTTCTTAGTGTTGTAAGTTAGATTTGTTAATCCAAACTTACTGGAATAACCAAGACTTGGACATATTTAGTGGTGTGGGGTGTGTGTGTGTGTGTGTGTGTGTGTGTGTGTATGCGTGTACCTACATGTGGAGTATAGATCACAGAAATTTCCTCCATTGGTTAAAAAAATGAGAAACTCTTTTATTACCTACCACTTATCAGATTTTACAACTTCTTTTTGCTTTCAGTGCAAATGAACTATATGGTGTCAGGGTAGAATTGAAAGGGTTCTGAAAGAATGGGATTAGAAGCAGGTAAAAATAAAAATAAAAAGGATGGAGGTTTAACCACTTGAATGGGTTATCTGACAGTGATACCTTTGTAAAGCTGACAGTCAAAGTGACAGACAAACATTGTTCAGAGACACATCAACGGAAAACATCAAAGAAATACCAAGGAGGCTTAAAACCCACTGAGAAAAACCACTGTGTGGGGCAGGGGAGGGAGGGAGTGTGCACGCATCTGTGTGCATGCGGGAGAGAAGGGCGGTCATGCCTGCACCGCTTGCTGTCGGAAGCTGTGGACATAAGTGTTATGGCAGGGATGAGGCCTTTTAGGGGAGGGGGCGTCCTCTTCCCTGCAAATGTGTGCTTTGTCTCAAATCCCTGTCACCAGGCAATGTACGTGCTTAGTCCCGTTTGGTGTGACCCTGGTTGATTATCTTGCTCTTAGGAATAACATGTAATGACGTCATGAGAATATTGATGCTGTCTCTTGCTTAACCCATGCGCTGATATATTCATCATACATGCCAGCTCATTTGGGAGGAGAAGGCAGGAAGGAGGAGGAGGCAGCAGCCGCAGCACGCACCACGGAGGACTTATTTGGTTCCACGTCAAAAGTGACACCTCAACCTTCCATGGCTTTGATGAGGACGATTTGGAAGAGCCTCGCTCCTGTCCAGGATGCCGCAGTGGCCGGGGCTCACCCACAGCAGATAAAAAGGACAGTTGCTAAGCCCACGGGACAGATTGGCCAATTAGCCACCCCCTCTGACTCTGGTCATTGCTCTGTTTCTGATATATATATATATATATATAATATATATATATATATATATATATATCTTTTAATGAAAGACAACTTAGGTTTTCCCTTTATCCTTGCTTTTTTCTTTTTCCTTTGGTTCCCCAGAGCTTGCTCCTTTATTTTGCTGGATTTCCTCTCCTTAGTGTGGGAGTGGCAGCCGGAGTGTCCTCTGGCTGGCCCGTGGTGGCCTGTGTGTGCATGCGTACCCATGTGGGCCTGGGTCTAGGTGTGGGGCTTGAGGCTTGCTTTGGCTATGGGAGGGGCTCTGTGTGGAGAAACTGGCTGGGGAAATGCTTGGCTGACTCTCTGTCCTTTGCCTGAACATGGAAGTGGAGTCCAGGGAACGGAGGTTGGAATTGGCTGTTGGCCTTGGGTAGGGATAAGGTGTAGCCATGGGCATTGCATGGCCAGGGTGGTATTTCTTGCTCTGGGTATCAGTTTCACAGGCAAGGGGGTGAGTCCAAGTTAAAGAAGATCCCCGATTAGGTACAACACTCACTAGGATGATTGGAAGATTCTGAACTCCTATGAAGCGTAGGTCTCCAGTCTCCATGAGAACACAGGCCATGTGACACGGATTGGGTGATCCACATGGCTGCCTAGGCAACAGACCACTTGTACAGGTCCGAGGAGATCTGCTGAGACCACCCAGCCTTTGCAAAATCCCTGAATTAGACGCTCATTGACTTAACACCTCAACCCATGTTCTCTTGATTTTCAAGAGTTATTGAAAATCAAACAATACTCATCCTAACATAAATATTTTCCAGGTATTAATTCTTCATTAGAACCATAAGCTAGACTCAGAAATTAGGTGGCCTTTCAATAATTTGTTTTAATTAGGATTTTTTAAAAAAAATCCCAAGTTCAAAGTCAAATTATCATTGATAATTGCAGCACCATGAACTACAAGAATCTGCAAGAACATGCAGATGAAATCACAAATGAACCCTTCCTGCTCCCCTGGGAGCCTGAGACAGAAAGGGCTTCCACTGTTCTCCTCTGTCAGATGGGCACAAGTGTGCCTGGGCATCGCTTTGGGTTTTGAGAGAGCGAAAGTAACAGCCTCACTCACTGTTCAGGTGCTCTGCCTGATGTCTGCATGGTCCCATTCCTAGGGACTATGGCATAAGCCTCCAGTGTGGTGGTAGTCCCGCTTGCTCACACGTGTGAATGCCACAACACAGTTGGTTCTAGTAGGTTTCTGCCGAGGAAACACAACCTGCGCTTGTACGCTCCACCTCTTCACTCTGTTTCATTGATTCAGATATTAGATTCATAGGCTTATGACTTTCCATGGTGAAATGTGAGTTTCCGTGTCAATAAAAGTATGTTCAATCCACATGATCATTTGAACCTCGTCTTGTAGTTCATGATTAATTCTACCTCTCAAATGATCCATGCTTTTATTCCCACAATTACCAGGCACTCATTACCCCTCTAAAACATCAGCTCTACAAAGGCCAGATTTTGTCTGTGTTTTTCTTTGCTCAGCACCTACAATAGTGATCAACAAAAGTTCATTGAGTAAATGGATATTGCAACTGCTCACCCTGCCCAGCTGCCTCTACCACATTTACCCTCTGCCCTACCACTGGATACAAGCAAATCAATCCTTGCTCAAAACTTCTGAGGAGTCCTCACTACCACAGAGTCAAATTCAGAACCTTATGCCTGCAGAAGAGACCTGTCACAATCTTTCTGGCATCATCTGCTACCATTCCCTTTTCGCAGGGTTAGAACTCAGGGCTTTGCACTTGCTAGGTAAGTACTCTGTGGCTTGAGCCACCCTTCTAGCCCCTCAATTTCTTTGGAAAGAAAAAAAAAACCTACCTCTAAGGTTAGTTAGTCATTTTGGCACACGATCACTAACACTGTACAATTCTAGTTAAGAATTTAAAGAAGAGTCAGCCAAGTTGCTTCTACTGTTGGCCCTCTTCTCTCCTCCCTGCTGTTACTAGAAGGTCAGCGCAGCTACCTTGGTTCTTGCGACTATTGGGGCCTGGGAGAGA